GACCCTCCATATTGTTGTATTGTGACTGCATCAATTTACAAACCCACCAACAATGAATGAGGATTCCCTTTTCTCTTTATACTTGCCAACACAATACTTGTTTGTTGATGATAGCCCTATTGGGGGTGTGAGATGAATTGTCATTGTGGTTTTGATTTGCATTTATTTGATTATTAGTGATGTTGAGCATGTTTTCATGTCTATTTAGGTCCTCTGCCCATTTTTTATTCAGATTGTTAGTGTTAAGTTGTATGAGTTTCTTATATATTTTGAATAGTAATCCCTTATCAGATGTTTCATTGGTGATTATGTTCTCCCATTTAGTGAGCTGGCTTTTCATTTTGTTGAGAGTTTCTTTCTCTTGTGCAAAAACTTTTCTTTGGTGTAGTCCTAGTTGTTTACTTTTCTTTTGTTTCCTTAGCCATGATGAGAAATGTCCAAAAAATATTGCTGAGTGATGTCAAAGGATTTACTGCCTATATTTTCTTCCAGGAGTTTATAGTTGAAGGTCTTTCACTTAAGTTTTTAATCCATTTTAGGTTTATTTTTGTATATAATATAAAAGTGCTATAGTTCCATTTTAGGTTTATTTTTGTATATAATATTAAAAATGTTATAGTTTCATTTTTTCATGTGTCTGTCCAGTTTTCCTAATACCATTTATTGGAGAGATTGTCTTTAACCTATTGTGTAGTCTTGCCTCCTTTGTCATAGATTAGTTGTCCACACAGACTGCTATCCTTTCCCTTTTCTCATAAGTGGCTCTTTAACTTCCATCTCATTAGCCTAAAGAAGTCGCATCGCTGCATCTAAATTTAATTGGGTGGAGAAATATAGTACTACCACATCCCAGAAAGGGGAGAACCAGAAAGATTTGGTGAACAGCACTAATGACTACCACACTGATTTTATCCTCTTATTTTTCTTGTCAAAGTCCAACTTTTGATATTGGCATTTGGGGAAAAAAATCAGATTAAGGGTCTTTTTCTTTGTATCTAATATGATAAAACCTTCCTTTTAACAAAGTTGGTAAAATGGCCTTGGTGCTGAAATTATGCCTTTTTTTTTTCTCAGGGGAAAGGTTTGGTGGAACCTACTTTGTGCTCCTGGCTGCCACAGTCTGGGGAAGACCACAGAGCCCTAGCCACAATCAAACTCTTTCTGAAACTGTCTTACCTCAGCACTCTGCCTACAGCTTCACTATCTGAAGAATCCTAATAATATCTTATCTCTAACCTGGCTTCCATTCAAAGAGTTGTAGGATTTAATTGCCTTATGATTTCTGTTTTCCTATAACACTATAAAAATTCCAAGCATACCAAATCTAATGTCACAGAGATGTTTATCTTAATTCTGCTTAGTATTCCACCTCTTCTTCCATCCACTGTGCCATCTGCACTTCATAGGGTGTGTCAGCCAACTTCCTGACAGATGATCTACTGCCCTTTATAGGTAAACTTTCCTCTTTTTGAAAGATTTACTTCATATATTAGTACTCTTTTTTTATTCTGAAACATCTCTCATATTTCATAGAAAAACTAGATAAAATCATATAAGAAACTGCCTCATCTTCTCACTATCCGATCCTCTCACTCACACTTACCTGCTTCAGTCAAATGGATTGTGTCCCCACATCAATCTAATGCCAACCTCTCTGGTGCTCTGAATCTCAATCCCTTTTTCCTTCTCAAGAACTTTCTTTTTCAATTATTCATTTTTCTCTCTGATATTGACTGATTTATTTACCAGATAATTCCAGCAAGTAAGCATGCTTTTATGGTATCTGTTTCCTTCTTTCTTTCACAGAAAAACTCCATGAAAGGAATTTTTATAATTGTACAGTTTTACATCTTGTTCTGTACCAAACATACTTCAATCAGGCTTTATCAAGCCATTAAAGTGATTTTTATTAAGTTGAAATGCTAACAATACTGACAGAGTAACGATGATGAGTTGAGAAGTGTTCTTAATATTTTATACATGATAAATCTTTATTCCCAAACCAGTCATATGAAGATTATGCTATTAACATCTCTGTTCTAGACATAAAAGACACAGAGATATTAGGTAAGTTGCCCAAAATCACACAGCCGCTAGGAGTAGCTTAGATTTGAACCCAGAAACTTTAGTTTTAACCACTACATCATATTACTTTTTTAAGGGACAACTGTTTCTTTTAATTTATTGAATCTTTCAGTAGTTTTTGACACAGTTAATCAATCCTTTCTTCTTAAAATATTTTATTCTTTGGGTTCTATGTCTTTATTTGGGTTCTTTTTTCTCTCACCCCATATGTTGGTCCTTATCAGTCTTTTTTTTTTTTTTTTTTTTTTTTTTCTTTCCCCCTTCTGTTTTCTTCACTATAAGTCTATATTTTGGACATTTCCCCCTTCTTTGGTAATAGCTGTTCCATGGAAATTTGGTTCTGATCTCTTGAATGTAAATCTGGAGCCCATATTTTTTTCCCCTAAGCTCTATTTCATAAATAATGCTGCCTGATTTACTGTATATCTCTACTTGAGTATCTTATATGGATCTTACATTTAACAGAGAAAAAGAGAACTATAGATATTCCAGCCCAACCTCTCTTTTGCCAAATTCTCTTTTCCCCAAGACTTTATCTACCAACACCACCAATCTTAGGACAAATTTAGGAGTAATCCTTAATTCCTTTTCCCCATCAGAGCTGTCATTCTACCCATTAGCAAGTCAAACCAACCCTGCACTGAAATATCTTTCCCTGCTACTTTCCCACAAGTCTGCTGCTGTTAGTATAGTCTTAGTTCCATCCTTTATTGCTTAGACTACTGCCGTCTCTTCATAATTGGTTTCCCTGATTGCACTCTTGCTTTCCCCCCTGTTTTTTCTCTAAAGAGCAGCCTGAGAAAAAGTCTAAAGAGTTAATGAGATCATACCAAAGACTTTCCCTTGAAATGAGAGTCAAGTCCCATCTTCTTACTGTGGCATACTAGACCCTACATGATCTTTCCACATTTCTGACACCTTTCCCTTGACTTTTCAATTGTTCAACCACACTGGTCATCCTGCTGTCCTGAGAACATTCCCATGCTTTTCCCCATTTGGTACCTTGTCATTGCTGCTCTTTCTCTTTGGAATGCTCTTCCTTTGATCTTCATAATGGGAGCTTCCTTCTCTTCACTAAGGTCATTATTCAGGTACCTTCTTATAGAGGTCTTCCTTGAGATTCTTGCTAAAATATACATTCTCTCCATCCTTAATTACTCTAAAAATATACTGCATTTTCTTCAAAGCACTTACAAATTTAATATTGTCCTATGGAATCATTAATTTAGGCATCACTATTTATATTCTTCAGCGAGATATGAGCTCTTTAAGGGCATGGTCTATGCCCCTCTTATTCACTGCTGCAATCCTGCAACCCTGGAACCATGCCTGATGTGTGGTATTGACTCAACTAAAATGTGACTAAGTATACTGTAGAAAGCAGTATGGTGACTTGTGTAACACAAAACATTCAATAAATTAAAATGAATGTAATCATCCTTAGCTAAGAAAGTATGTTCCAGAAGTACATAGAGAAGTCTTGGGGAAAGGAGAATTTGGCAAAAATAGGTTGGGCTAGAATGTCTATTGTTCTTTTTTCTCTCTAAATGTGAGCTCCTTATAAGACACTTAAGTAGAGATATAACCAGGCAGCACCACTTATGAAATAGAACTTAGGGAAGAATTCTGGGCTGTAGATGCACACTTAGGAGACCTACATCAACAGGTACAAGTCATACACAGGATGAAATTATCATAGGAAGGCTACCAACAAAGCATGAGGAACAGAAGTCTCGCTCTTAAATTTTTAGCATCGCTGGAGATAGCTTTGTGATGTTGGAATGATATTTGCTTCTTAAAAGCTCTTTTGAGAATTACTTGTCAAAGCTGTATGTCATACGTGAGCTTCTTGATCTCTCATGGAGGTATGAGTTGAACAATATGTGTGATTTCCTTTTTCTCACAAGGAAAATCTAAACAAGTTACTGTGCAGCTGTTCCTCATCTCCCAGGAAAGATTAATATTATAAATGCATGTGCTCTTAGATCTCTACTTTTTTCTATGTAAATTTGTTTTTATAGCAATCACAGTTTTAAAACTTCTGAAAGTATAGTATTTCAATAAATGTTGGATTCTAAGCTATTTTTGTTTTTAGCAGATGAAACTTTTGCTTTATCATGTCATAGTAGGGTTAATAGAACCTTATCATAATATGATGTCAGGTCCCAAAATTTCACCTTCATAGCCTTACTGCAAAGTGGATGGAATGGGTAGGGGATCTCACAGCTTTTTGGACTGGGTTTCTAGGTTAGATATAAATCCATCCAAGTTCTGTCTGTACTTTGTGCCTTTTGGTGGCAGTTGTCCCTGCAGGCAAAATTGGAAGGAATGATTTTTGAGTTCTGAAACTGGCTGGAACTTTTGGGACAATAATAGCAATTTCAAGACTCAGCCAATTAATTCATTTCCAGAGAAACTGTGCAGATGAATAGTTAGAAGGGGGAAATCTTCCCTTCATCATTGCTTCTTGAAAATTGTTATTCTGCCTGACCTTATGCTCACCTCCAGAAAAACATAACCTTTATATTATCCATCAGCCACACGGTAGCATATTTGTCCAGGGGTTTACCTCACTTTAACATGTTGAACAAAAAGCTGTAAAAAAAAAAAGCCACATGCAACTAAATATGTTTTTGACGGCACTATATATTGCTCCTATATTTCAGACTGTTCTAACGGCTTATTTTAATCTAGTCACCAGTTATTCCTGCTTCACCAAGCATTTACTGGCAGAAATGGTCCTGCCACATTTAGAAAAGAAACCAACTCCCATTATGGAGTCAGCATCATTGTAGTTCTAGTTTCATGCCTAGTGGGTCTCCTATGGAGCAATATGTAATGCACTACTAATTAAAAAAGAGGAAGGAAGTGTCCAAAGCTTTCTAATGTCTCATCTTTTGTTTTTGTTTGTACAGCTCACCATGTCAAAACGGGCACTTGCGAGGTGGTGGCACTCCACAGATGCTGTAATAAGAACAAGATAGAAGAACGGTCACAAACTGTCAAGTGTTCCTGCTTCCCCGGGCAGGTGGCAGGCACCACGCGAGCTGCTCCCTCTTGTGTGGATGGTGCGACTTTTACGTTGCTCATTGTGGTAGTGTAGCTGGGGACTGCTTAGAACTGGAACCCCAGTGTAATGCTGTGGACAGGGCCAATTCTGAGGGACCACAGGATAGATTATGTGGTTGATATGAGGTTATTTGTAAGGCATTTTGAAATCTGAAGTCCTTTGGAAGGAGGCCTAGGGACTTACCCAGTTTCATAATAAACAGTGTTATATTGGGATTCTAACAAATTCAAGTGCTTTGATGCCATGAAATACTGATTTACCAGCTGAGGGTGTGTGTGTGTGTGTAAATTAATTGGGAAAGAAGAGATGAAAACAGATAATTAAATAGTATGAATTTCTAAGCCCATGGATGGTTCTTAAGAATGAAAAATGAACATCATGCACATAAGAGAATATTTAGTTGTGGATAGAATTTATACAAAATTTGGTTATTATAAAAATGCATCAGAATATTCATTTCTTTATTGATTATTTACCTAATTAGAATAGGATACTCAGCCATTTAATTGATGTTACCATAAATAATAATTTAAGTGCTCATATTAGCATGGTCCATATCTTATGAAGATGACTACTGCCCACAATAAAAATAAATTTTAAAAATTGCAAGAATTCTAATGCCCTCTGATTTTCAGCCTTCTATGGGAAATATAACAATTATTCTAAAATATTGACTCTAAATTGATCAGGGGCTTATTTGCTTATCTGTTTATGTAAACCAGTTATTGCATACATACTATTAGTTTCTTTCAAATATATAGTTTTCATGAAGCCTAAATATCTCATGAAAAATCATTCAATAATGTGCTTATTATGTATTGTATGTTTAATGATTCAAAAGGGTAAGTCTCATGTAAAGTATTCTTACCATAATAAAGTAAAATTAAAATAATTATTCTATTCAGAAAATCTAGATTTAGCCCTTTTGGACAAAAAATAAAAATAAAATAAAAAGGCAGGTCCTAAAACACAGTCTTCCCAGTGATAGGAAAACTTGATGGCTTTTTCTTTAAATGTGCACCAAGAGAATGAACAAACCCAATGGAAAACATTGCATCAATTTTCTATCTCCTGTAGCTTCCATAGTGGAACAGAAATGGTGGTGTCATATGCAGCCATGTCTTGAGGGAGAGGAGTGTAAAGTTCTTCCTGATCGGAAAGGATGGAGCTGCTCCTCTGGGAATAAAGTGAAAACAACTCGGGTAAGTGGACAGCCAGCTTGGAAAAGTAGAATGTCTCTAGATTATCAGATCATACTCAGTGATATCTTTAAGTGTTGGTTAGAGAATGAGAGAGTATAGTTTTCCATAGTATGCTTTTCCCCATTTTCTCCTTAATTCATTTTTCATAGCACATTTTTATTTCATTCAGAATAACATCTTTATATTGCCATCAGCTGTTGTGTTATCTAATAAACACATATTGTTTGTTCCCTCATGAGATACTGACAGTAATATGAAACCCCCAAGGGTGCATATAAAAAATGCTGGATAGGTCATCCCAATCCCTTATTCTGCTCATGGATAGAACTCTGAATAGATTAAAAAAGAAGAAGAAGAAGAAGAAGAAGAAGAAGAAGAAGAAGAAGAAGAAGAAGAGAATAGAAAATATTTTATTTTATAATAGAGGCCCAGTGCATGAATTAGTGCGCTGGTGAGGTTCCTTGACCTGATCTGCGGGGATTGGGCCAAAACCAGCTCTCCAACATTCCCAGAGGGGTCCTGGATTGTGAGAGGGCACAAGCCAGGCTGAGGGACCCCATTGATGCATAATTTGGTCAGGGAGGGACAGAGGGAGGACTCCAGGGTGTGTCCAGCCTGTCTCACCCAGTCCCAATCAGGTGGACCCCAGCAGCAAGCTAGCCTACCAGTTGAAGCATCTGCCTCCTGGTGGTCAGTGCACATCATAGTGACTGGTCGAACAAATGGTCAGGTACTTAGCATATTAGGCTTTTAATATATAGGATATGACAATAAAATCTGCCAACTAAGATTCTTGCATTTTTATTAAAGTAATTATTTTGATCTCCCTGGTTTCTGGATCAATAAATAATTTTCTAATATAGTATAAACTTTACATGGGCCTATTTAATTGTCATCACAAATAGTTTGTTAAGTGTTCAAATTACTACAGTATATTCCATGGATTAATATGAAAAGAACACTATTATGCAATGATATACTTCTGCTTGCAATGCTGACTTCTGGGAAATGGGAGAGAAGTGAAAAAAAGTGTTATTCTTTGATCTTCTAATTAGTTCAATGGATGGTCTGGACTGGCAGGTTTTATAATAAATATTTTCTTTGTAGATTCAGCTGTGAAAGTTCAGTCTTGTTTTGCTGAGGGGAAAGTAGACAATTGTATAGAATTGAATCATTGTATAAGGGAATGTTTTACAAAAAACAGAACATAATCCTGACCTCTTGGCTCAGTGTTTGAGCACAGACACATTCAACAGGAGGTTGCCAGTTCAATTCCTGATTAGAGCATATGCCTGGGTTGCAGGCTCAATCCCCAGCAGGGGCATGCAGGAGACAGCTCATCTATGATGTTTTTCTCTCATCAATGTTTCTACATCTCCTTCCTTCCTCTCTAAAATAAAATTTAAAAAATTAATTAAAAACAATAAACAAAACAAAACAAAATAACATAAAACTAGATGCTGGTAAGTGATGTTATTGTAAAAATGCCTGGGAAAAGTGTCACACAACTCCTTCTGGGGCCAGAAAGGCAACTAAATCAGAGAACGTCCACCCAAAATTAACAAATTAGACACAGGTGAGAAGACAATTTCCAATAAGGAAAGTCAGAGGATGTCTAGAGAATGCCACTTGCCAGCCATTACCTGGGTGAAACCACCACCATCTCCCAGCAGTGAGTGGTGCAGTACCTCCTGGCAGGACCCCAGATGTCTACAATGAGCACTTGCCAGAGTGACCTCTGCATCAGGCCTCCTCACTAGCCGGCTAGGACCCATCATCCCAGGATCCGGTTCCAGGAATCTGCAGTGAGTGCAATCTAGGAGGACTCCTGTGCCCGACATCTGACCAGAGCCATCCAAGCCCTGGGACCTGCTGTCAGGGTGACCCAGGACAACATAAGAGCATGGACTGTGAAACCCTGAACAACCCATGTCCACTTCACCCAGGGCCCCAGGTGGTGTGATCTGGAGCAACCCAGTACATGCCTCACTCAGGGCTACAGGAGAGCTATGACTATATGACCTAGAGCAACTCACATTCATTCCACCCTGGCCCCTGGGGAAGTCCTGCTGGGGATACTCAGAGCAACCCAGTGTGTGTCTCACTCTGGGCTACAGAAGAGTTCAGACTGTTGTCCCCTCTTCACAGAGGGGAGGGTCAAACTGGAGCAACAAAGAACAGGCCTCACTCCAGGCCAAATGAAAGTGAAGACTGTGTGACCCACTGCAACATGCACCCACTCCACCCCAAGCCCAGGGACTTGCTGGGACAACCTAGAGTAACCCAGCACATTTCCTATTCTGGGTCACAGAAGAGCTCTGACTATGCAAACCAGAGCAATCTGAACCCACTCCAACCCAGTCCCTGGGACAGTCCTTCTAAGAGCTATCAGGAGCAACCCATACCATGCCACACTCTGGGCCACAGGAGAGCACTGCTGGGGTGAACTGGAGCAATCTGATATGCACGGCCAGGGACCACAGTACCATGCTGCAAGTGCCCTGCCAAAGAGAACTAGGGCACCACTTTGCCATGGGTGCTGGGGCCACACAGTGAATTGACATGAATTACATGTCAGAGGAACTGATACTCTGCATTGGACAACAGAGGGACAAGATCCATGGGAGAAGGGGATAAAACTCAGAGCAGAGACAATAAAGTTGTGAGATTCAACCCAGCCTCTGAGCTAATGATTTCTGTACCATTGTCCTGATAGGTTTTCAACCTCTCAAACCCCAGGGCCAGCAAGAGACAGCAAAATGGGGAGACAAAGAAACAGAGTAAGTGCCAGAAAATGAACTAAATGAAATAGAGGCAAGCGTTATGTCTGAAAAATAATTCAGAATAAGGTTCATCAAGTTCCTAAACCAGATGGATGAGAAAAATAACATATACACTGAGTGGCCAAATTATTATGATCTCTGAACATATAATAATTTGGCCACTCAGTATATATACACAAAGGAGGCCCAGTACATGAATTCGTGCATGGGTGGGGTCTGGCCAACCTAGTCAGGGGGAGGGGACATGGGTAGTTGGCCAGTCTGCCTGCCGGTCAAACTCCTGGTCAAGGGGGCATTTTGCATTTTAGCCTTTTATTATATAGGATATACACTGAGTGGCAAGATTATTATGTGTTCAGAGATCATAATAATCTGGCCACTCAGTGTATAAGAATCAAGAGGAAGTGATGAATGATATAGCAGCAATAAAAAAAAAAAACAATGAAAAGTCTCAACAGTAGACTAGAAGAAGCTGAGAACCAAATCAATGAGTAAAAAACATCCAATTTGAACAGCAATTGGAAAAAAAAAATAAAAAGAAGAGGTGAATTTAAGGGAACTTTGGGACAAGATGAAATGAAGCAACTTCCAAATAATAGGGGTGCCAGAAGTTCAAGAAGAGGAGCAAGGAATAGAAGACCCATGTGGAGAATTAATGACAGAAAACTTTTCTGACATTGGGAAGAAAAAGTCACACAAGCACAGAAAGTCCCAAGCAAGATGAACCCAAAAAGACCCACACCAACACAGGTATAATTACAATGGAAACATTAATGACCAAGAAAGAATCTTAAGGGAGAGAGACAGAAAGATCCATATAAGGGATCTTCATTAAACTATCAAATGATTCCTCAACAGAAACACATCAGGTCAGAGGCAATGGAATGAAGAATATGAAGTAATGCAAAACTAGGGACTGAATCCTATAATATTCTATCCAGCAAAGTTATCAATCAAAATTGAAGGTGAAATAGGAGCTTCACAGAGAAAAAAAAGGCTAAGGAAGTTTATTACCACCAAGTCAGTAATACAAGAAATCTTAAAGGGACTGTTTGAAAAGCAGAAATAGAAAGGGATAAGGGAACACAGACATAAAAAATAAAAATGGCAACAAACAAGTACCTATCAATAATAACCATAAATGTAGATTGGTTAAGTGCTCCAATCAAAAGACATAGAGTGGCGATAGAAGTTCCCTATAGTTCTTTTCACATACGGCACACATTTAAAAACATCTTTTAACAATTTTGATTATTGAAATGTAAAGGTCAAGACGATGTGATCTAAATTCTCATAGTAAATTGTTTTACAAGTGTTGCTTTCCTCTGTGATATAAAAACTAAACTGCCCAGCTGATGTAGTTCAGTGGTTGAGCATTGACTTATGAACCAGGAGGTCATGGTTTGACTCCCAGGCAAAGAACATGCTCGGGTTATAGGATTGTTCCCCAGTAGGGGTTGTGCAGGCTGTAGCCTATTGAAAATTCTCTCTCTGCATCTCCCTTCCTCTCTGTAATCAATAAAAATATGTTTTAAAAAATACCTCAAGGCAAATGAAAACACACTGACCCCAAATCTATGTATGGGACACCGACAAAGCAATTAATACCAAGATAGGTCTATCTCAAGAAACAAAATATTTAAACTCCTAAAAGAACTAGAAAAACAATACAAAACAGAAAAAGCCCAAAAGTGGGTAGTAGAAAGGAAATAATGAAGATCAGAGAATAATAGATCTAAAGCATGAATAGAAAAGATCAATGAAACCAAGCACTGATTCTTTAAAAAGATAAATAAAAATAAACCTCTACCCATACTTACAAAACAAAAATAATAACAACAATAAAAAAAGAGAGGGTGCAAATCAATAAAATCAGAAAGAAAAGAAGAGTGACAAGCAACACCATAGAAATATATAGGAATACTGTATAAGGAAATACTGTGAACAAATCAGACAACCTGGAAAAATGGATAATTCCTAAAAACATCCAATCTTCCAATAATGAATCAAGAAGAAACAGAAAATCTGAACAGACTGCTGATAATGAAATTGAACCAATAATCAAAACAATTCCAAATAAACAAAAGCCCTGAACAGATGGCTTCACAGGTGAATTTTACCACATTTGAAGAATAATACCTATTCTCTATTTCAAAAAAAAAATTGAAGGGAAGGGAAGGCTGCCAGACTCATTTTACATAGCAAAATTGACAAAGA